AAAAGGTAACATTTTTACCTATGTTTATATATGAAAAGGTATACATTTTTAAAATCTAAAATATAATCAAAGGGTTGGGTAACAGAACCCCAGCAGCACTCCCTAACAATTAAGTAATGAAAGTACAACTTGATGCCATACTTACCCGGGTAAAACCTTTTTTAGGTGCTCTTGTGACAGGCTATGCATGATATTAAAATGAAAAGTAAGCACATTTTTTTAGAAATATGTACAATACCCAGCTGATATTTGAAACTACAACATTTGTATCAAGGCTGCATGCAGGTAAAAAGTAAACCTGTGACAGACAAGGCTTCCGTGCTCATACCGTAAAGCACACGCCATAACATTCCTTAAAACTTTCCTTTAGTTTTTTATAACAGCGGTATAGCTTATTGTAGAATAACGTCTTTCCAAATTAAAAAAAAATCATATTATGATCTATGCCAGGCAGTTACCATAATGCCATAGAAAGACATCTATAGGATGCTTATTTTTGCGTTGTAGTATTCAGATATACACACATTGAACAACTCGATTATTTTACTATTTGGTATATATATGCACTCTCCGCTTGGGGTTGAATCACAAAGTTAACAAAGTTTAAAATTATTTAATTTATCACATAAAGCACATAACATATCACATTTCTAACTAATTCATGATATATTTTCCTAAGTTAATTGTGCAATTGTGCGTATATCATGCACCCTAAGCCTTTGCGAAAGACGAAGAGTTAGCACTTGGTATGCTAATGAATATCCTTTATTCAAACGTCACTGATGAGTCTGATTAAAAATATTATAAGCCTGGTACCTTTGATAAGTATTTACTTTAGGCCTAATACAGTGCCATATTCTGTGAGATGTCGATAATTTGCAAGTATATATCATTCGCCTACATGATTTATTTTCTTATGCTTGATTTGTTCAGTACGGTATACATTTTGTCTTATATCTACATTATATCCTGTTTTATTTTATAAAATGAACAATGTCGCTCTCATGAAAGAAATTTAAGCGTGCGTGACTTTGCAACATATAGACTCTTATAAATAAGTATAACATAACTCTTTCAAATCCTTCAATCAAAATTCCGGGACCCTTCCTCATGCAGTGTATAACTAAGTTCGGGTACATGTATGCTTTGGTTATTAAATGCGAAGCAAACCTGAAAATTCTGTTTCAAAAATCAAACGACACGAATGTTATATATAAGACCGTTTATATATATAATTCTTAAGAAATTAGAGAAACATAATATTTTTGTAACGCGCAACTCGACCTTCGTAACTCGCAACTCGACCTTCGTAACTCGCAACTCGACTTTCGTAACTCGCAACTCGACCGTCGTAACTCGCAACTCGACCGTCGTAACTCGCAACTCCACCGTCGTAACTCGTAACTCGACCTTCGTAACTCGCAACTCGACCTTCGTAACTCGCAACTCGACTTTCATAACTCGCAACTTGCAACTCGACGATAAGAAACCCTCATTAAAGTTAAGATTGAAAGGATTTTTGGAAACAAACTTAAGATGAAAAAAAAAAATACATCCTAGACTCTTGCTACTAGAAGGGTAGTTCCCTCGGGAACTAAACGTCCAATATCAGCGGTGCCGACCTAAAAGGTTATCTAAAAGGAGTTTATTAATCTTTAAACTCGGTCGACTCACTCACAAACTGAAAAAAGCCGGAAAGACTAAAACTTTGATTTTCGAGATAACGACAGAAATTACACAACAATTCACTTTGTAAAAATACCCATATAACTTATAATTCCGATTAAAATGTTTCATGGACACTTACAAAACTAGTTTTACGGTATAGGAATTAATAATCATGACGTCATAAATTAGTTTTGTACACGTATATACTTTTTGTTGCTTCTTTCGTTTAGGTTATAGTGAAATTATAAAAAAAATGGCGGATGATGCCAAAACAAGAGGCTCTCTAGAGCCTTGTCGCTCACCTGTATCTACTGTGGTTTTGGAAATCATGTAAAATAAGGTTAAAATCATAATAAATAGTATTAGATACCCCAATAATGATTGAGACCAAGTTTGGTATAATTTGGCTCAGTAATTAAATTAAAAGCAGGTCATCCTATTGTAGTCTTACAATAGTTACTGAAGACCCCTTATCATTATTTAAATTAGTTTTCAAGTTGTGACCATTTGAAATTGATTTTCTACAATTTTCCTATAGACTTCTATAGTAAACCCCTATGCTCTTTTTTTAGCCATGGCGGCCATTTTGGTTGGATGGCAGGGTCATCGGATACATTTCTAAATGAAGATACCCTATTAAAAATTGTGGCTAAGTTTAATTCTATTTGGCCCAGTAGATTAAGTGGAGAAGATTTTTGTAAAAGATTACAAAAAATTACGAAAAATTGTGACAAATTGACTTTAAAGGGCAATAACTCCTAAAGGGGTCAATTGACAAAAATAGTCATGTTGACTTATTTGTAGAGCTTACTTTGCTGAACATTTTTGCTGATTACATTTTATCTCTATCTATTATAATATTCAAGATAATAACCAAAAACTGCAAAATTTCCTTAGAATTACCTATTCAGGGGCAGCAACCCACAACGGGTTGTCTGATGCGTCTGAAAAATTTCAGGGCAGATAGATCTTCACCTGATGAACATTTTTTCTCGTGTCAGATTTGCTCTAAATGTTTTAGTTTTAGTGATATAAGCCAAAAACTGCATTTTACCCCAATGTTCTTTTTTTAGCCATGGCGGCCATCTTGGTTAATGGGCGGGGTCATCGGATATATTTTTTAAACTAGATACCCTTAGGATGATTTAGGCAAAGTTTGGTTTTATTTGGCCCAGTAGTTTCAGAGAAGATTTTTTGTAAAAGTTAACGGACGACGACGACGGACGGACGACAGACGCCAAATGATGAGAAAAGCTTACTTGACCCTTTTGGGCCAGGTGAGCTAAAAAGGCACAATAAAAAAAAAAGGATCCACAAAACACGACAAGGAAAACCAAAGACTTTTCTTCGTCTATGACCAAGTGTGAAAATTTAAGGTAATTATCTTTGATCTTTGTTCGAACTGGTACTGGATGACTACTTTGCTTTCGACAAACGAATATAGTTTTGACGTCATACTTGCATAGATAATTGCTCTTGGGCTGATATCATGACATAGGGCCGATAAAGGGTCTGATATGAAAAAATGCCATGTAATAATCTATACTTATCATATACTTAGAGAAAATAACATATATTTCTTACAGTATGATAACAGCATTAAATCAACGTGAATTCCATATTTTTCCGAAATGGTGTTTAGCGGGATGATATGAAAAATTTATCACATGCTTCGATTATTATCACATGCCTTTCCGTAACGTTATCACATGGCATTCCGGCGATACTCGGCAAATTCCGGAAAATACACCTCAATTGTACGTTTTCAGTGAAAAACAATACAAAGTAAGGTACAAAACAATTATTTGGATACTGGAAAGTGTATTGTGTAAAATGAAAAAAAAACCAAAAAAACAAATGATAAAATAATTGCATTTTTAAAAGTTTTAAATATAATCTAGAAAGTTACTTTAAAATTGTTGACTTTTCCAAACAGTGTTCGTTATGTATATTGTTGAATTATTCTTTTATCGTCCATATTAAAATATATAATACTGCTGTTTTCCTGTTCTTTTTAGGCATATGCTAGAAAGATTTCATTTCGAATTTACTACATTTGGGGTCCGACGTCCGTGAACTTTTCACTCTCTGAACTTCTATTTGAGAACCACGTAAAAGGATCAATAAATTAATCTTTTATTTTCTCCATTGTTGAAGCATATGATAAAAAGATCATAACATGTCATTTTTCATATCGCATGTATTATCAGCCCTCGGTCAATATCAGCCCTCGAGTCATGCGGCTCTTGGGCTGATATTAAAACCTAGGGCTGATAATACATGCGATATGAAAAATGCCATGTAATAATCTGATAATATTAACTTAACATGAACTGCCTGAGATTCAACATAACGAATGGTCCAACATTATAACATGTATTAGTTATACTAGAGAAAACCTCGAATTTTCCCACAAAAATACGAAACTTAATAAATATATATCTACTAAGCATCAGTTATTATCAATTGTGTTTGCTGTTTCTTTTATGTGAGTCAATAATTTTTTTTATTTAGAGTAAACGTTTTTTCCCTTACCTGTTTTATCCGAATTATAATTTTCTGTGTGATCTGAAATAAAGATATTGAAGTATTTGAAATATTGCCGATTTAATATTTCTAAATATTTTTTGTGATTCTTTTAACTGGAATTCACGTTTCGCTTGCATTTAAAAAATACAAAATAATAGTAAGGTTAGTCATTTTTAACTATCAAGTTCCTTGCATATATTTTTCCTTCCTCTATGTAATACCGGTATTTGTTTTATTATATTTTTATTCGTATTGCATCCCATTGTTTTTGGAATTCAAAAGCAATTATGCGATTTAAAGTTTTAAAGTATTTATTTTATCAATTACATGTATGTATTTTCTGTCTGAAGAAAAAGATACCGGTTGGTTCTGCTATATATATTGATAAACACTTAAGATCAGAACAATATCTTAAAGTATCTCGTCTAACTTAGCTATGCTACTGAAAACTTACTGTCACATGTTACAGTTGCATCTCCGATAGAGTTACATATCGCTTTTGAATCATTACTGTAGTCTGGACTACATTCAAATGGATTCGTTATACTAACAGGACAGTCAACTCCGTAGCCTATTCGCGTTAGATTTTTTCTCCTGGGAATTTCACCGGCAATCCCGTTATATGATATATTTAAATGGCGACAAACAAACCTAGCATACTCATTTTTCCATTTGTTTGCACAAAGAGAGTAAGCTTTGTTTCCTTTCTTGTTTATAATCAACAATCTGAAATCTCTATCTACATCTAAAACCCATTCAATTTCACCTGAAGTAAAAAGATAAACAATTGACGTAATTTCTTTTATTGTTTCTTGTTTCGAACAGCAGCAAATTTCGATATAAGCTAGCGAAAAAAAAGTTCAATGATTGGTGATCTCATTTGTTATTAATGTGTTAGTCAACAATGAACGAATAATTTCCCAAAGAAAGAAGATATCGCATCCATTCTTAATTTGTTCAAACGATGAATATCAAACTAACATATTTCCTTTAGTTATTCGAATGTCGTTTTGATATTTTATATTAATTTCAGCTAAAAGTTCAACTGTCGTTTGGAATGTGATGCGTGAACACAAATTCCTACCGGAGAAAAATAACATGAGAACTGGTGTTTATTTAAAGTCTTCCGTTAAACAAATGCTTACTGATGATTCTGTATATACTTTTCTGTGTTCTTCTTTTACAAAAAATATTTTTAACATGTTTTTAAACGGTTATCATATCGTACATTTTCATAGGTTTTATAAGGAGTGAAGATGATATCAACTCAATATATTAAATTTCAATATGGGGATCGTTTATTATTATTTCCTCGGGTAGTTATTATTGACCTAGAAAAAAACCAATATTAAAATTTCATATACATGTAGCATTGCAAGATAGGCAAACTGGCAACATTTGCGCATTTGCGGTATCGCTTATTCATATTGCAATCTGCTTGGTGTAATACGAGAAATTATATCTCTTACACGCGGGAAATAGATAACATGCCAAAACCTTGCAAAAATCGTTGTTGCCTTTACTCAAGAAACGTGTCAATTTAAGTACAAAAAATCCGCGAATTGATATACATGTATTAATTTTCAACCATAATTTAAGAGAAGAGCAGTAAATGTTCCTTTTTTATAATTCAGCCAAACCTGTATTTGGCGGTTTTGTTATATCAAAAACAAATGTTCTTGGTGACACGTCTTCTGTAGGAATATAACTATGCTTTCCAGTAGTTTTCCCTGTTGTTGTAGATGAATTAGTTCCTTCTGTAAATTGAAGAATTATCAACGTAGAGCAACTGTAATATTTCCATTAAATATGACGTGAGAAAGACGAAAGCATGTTAGTAATATATTGAAATATTGTTTGAAAAGGATCATATTAAATTGAAATGTTAGAAGCATTTTTAAAAATTTGCATTTACTATATTGCAAAATAAAGTTTATTTTGAAAAGAGCGAAATCAGAATTTTCATCATTAATTTAAGATTAGAAACACAAGACGATTTTTTTCCTTATAAGATATCTAAATATAAAAATAAGAAGATGTGGTATGATTGCCAATGAGACAACTCTCCACAAGAGACCAAATGACACAGAAATTAACTACTAAAGGTCCCCGTACGGCCTTCAACAATGAGCAAAGCCCATTCCGCATAGTCAGCTGTAAAAGGCCCCGAAATGACAAAACTATTCAAACGGGAAAACTAACGGCCTGATTTATGTACAAAATAATGAACGAAAAACAAATATGATATACAACTATCAAAAATTTACTGTTGTCATGGTAAAATATGATAATGAATGAACATAATATCAGTCGAATAAAATGCAATTTAAGACAATATTTAGTTTTACCTCTGTTGCAGCTGTAAGATATTGTAGCCCTCCAAGTCAAATAAAAACATTCGGTATCAACATTGATGTAGCCACAACTGGTATGTCCAATACACAAATTTAAACTTTTCTGCATGCAGTTGCTAATATCTCTTTCAAATTCGCATATAGCTTCAATCTTATACCACCAGAACTCAAATCCACTTATCGCATACTCATCACCGCAATATATTGCAGACAACGAACCGCACACTTCAACTCTTTTTGTATACTGAAGATTAGTAGACCACCATCCTTCAGTGTAAAAATGTTATAAATTAACACTTACCGTTTTGTCAAAAGCGGGAGGTTTGATAAACAATAAAAATTTTAATATTTTTTAATAACATAAACTGTTCTAATTTTACTGACCAGATGCTCCTTTCGACAATTAAGTCTCTTCAGTACAGATGTTGAAGAACTGATCAAACCGAAAAGAATTTTAAGCATTGTAAAAAACAAAGAGAGAAGAAACCTAGGGACAATCAACTATAAATCGATGAAAAACATACATCACCGTTACCAAATAAAATAACGATGAAAAGACAAAACAACAGTCCACCAAAAAAAAAAAAAAAATAATGATTATGCAACACATACCCTAACATGATTTTTTTGTGAACTTGGGGGTCCAGAAGGATAATTGATTCATACTGGACTAGTAGAATCCCTTGCGTTTCTAATGCTGCATTTTGTTATGTTAAATAAACAAGAGAACATACCAGTTTTCATATACATGTGAAACAGATATTCCATAACGATCAACGAAATCATGGTAGCATCCGTAAATCTTTCGAAGGGATGACATCAACTTCTCTTTACACTAGTAACTCTTGCTTGAGTAGTTTTCTTATAAGCAGCAAAACTCTATTAAGGAAATCTTAAAAATTGCCATCTATGGAATATAGTATCTGGGAAACATATATTCTAAATCCAGGCGCTGCTGGAATATTGCTATATAGAAATGAAAAAGTTCACAATTGGAAAGCTAAAATCATCTATTTCATCGCAAAATAATTGCTCCCAATCGAACCTCCTTGCCATATCAAGTAAAGATATGAGGCATTTTTAATTGTGTTGGTGACATTTTTTATTTCAAATCAGTGGGATAGATGTGTTCAACATTGTTACAAAACTTTGAATTATTTTTCAGAAGACTTCATCTACATAGCAGAAAGTGAAACTGAATGTTCATTCTTCATTCTTCTAGAGAATTTCTTGTTTATATAATACAGTCTGCATCATATGCATAATTGAACAAATCGATAAGAAGAGCGGTTGGTTCTCGTAGAAATGACAACTGAGTTCAAAACAACGCGTCCTCGATACGTAGCACATATGGTGTCAATAAAAATCAAGCATCTTGTTTTGCTTAGTTTGAATCAGATTTTCTTCACAAAGTACAAAGTGGGTTTCGGAATTGTTACTATGTTTAGTTTGTTTTTTGCGTGAACCTCCTGTGGGATTCACGCCTATATATTGGTGAGTTTTGGTAACTCGAATAATTCAAGCCCTTACCGTCTCCGATTCTCTCCGCCTTTCGAGGTGTAGTGATCGATAGTGAGCGTAATATAACGACTGGATTATTCGGGTTAGAGTTTTGGTAGCTTTTACGGGCCGTTCAGATATCCTAGGAAACAAGATTCTCGGAACGTCTCGAAAATTTTCGATCAATTATACGGATAGATGTCTTTTATCTTGATACAGTCCCTCTATGTATAGGCTACCACATGACATTGTATATTTCAACAATCAAAGTTTGTTGTAGATCGGAAAGTAAAAAAGTAAAGACTAAATTGCAGTAAAAAAATCATTTATATATTCCAACGTATTTGCCTTTTGACAGAACATATGCGTTTTGATGTGAAAGTTTATAAATATCAAGTATAATGATAAAGTAGTTAATAATTTATTTTTTGAGACGGTCCCTGTACACGTTTTGTATGAAGTATTTAATACAACGTGCTATTGTGCATTCTGAGAAAAAACCTGGGAATAGTAAATTAACAATATAATTATTATGTCCCAGAATAAACTGATTATTTCTGAACGTTTATCCCGTGTTAATTGTAGACGCAATTATACGCAACATGTGATCAAATGTCGGAAAGAAATGAGAATTAACAAAACGATATTTCTGTTCACAAGGATTTTTAATCCTTGCATCTCACAAAAAAACTTGATTAATATTTTAAAATAATCATTTTTATTAATTACTACGTTAATTATTTCATACCGTTTTAGTATGGTTTTGTAAATCTCTGCTGCTTGTATTTTGTATAGCAATATATTCATTAAAACATTTAAAATGGAAAGTTAGGCTTGAAGAAGAGATTGATTTGATAACAAAATGTCCATCAGTAAATACTTGAAGATTGTGTTTATTGATAGTAACTATATTTAAAATTTTCAGAAAAGATTTATTTACAGAAATGTGTGTAAACGATACCGCTGCTTGTGGACTATCAGTCCCCGAGGGTATCATTAGCTCAGTAGTCAGTACCTCAGTACTGATATGATTTATAACAAACCTTTCTAAAATTGTCCGGTTTATAAATTTTGAAATTATAAAGAAACTAAGGTTTCAACTCCCTCGGACAGAATTGACCTTGGATGGATTTCAACTGTTTTGGTTTTTACATCATTGGCTTTCAAATATTCGGCTTTGAGCATTCCTGATGAAGGTAAATCCTGAAAAGCGCTTCGGACACATGTAATTTAAAACGTGTTGTTTACATTTTTTTTCAATTCATTTTGTTTTTGTTTTAATAGTTCAACTTTATAGCATCTAAATATTTGCAATGTATGGTGCGATTTTGTATATCCGATTTGAAAACAATATTTGTTTCGTTCACACAAGTTCCGGATTAAATGACAATGACAAATTTTTAAACCCATTGAGGAAGGTAGTTTGACATCCGAATTCAACTAACATTAAAATTTCGCTGATTTTCTCATTTCATATCTAAACTCAGGACACGGCAGTAAGAGCTTGGCATATAATTATGAATCATGATCATCATTAAGGTATTCAGACCTCCAGCTGTTTCTCTTTTTCTTATTTTTTGAGTAACTGTCCTATTATAAACTTTCAAATTTTCTAAAAACTAAGGACTTTCTCTACCCAAGGTGTGAATACTTAGCTGTATTTGGCAAAAACTTTCGGAATTTTGGGTCTTCAATGCTCTTCGACTTTGTACTTTATTTGGTATTTTTAACTTTTTTGATTCGAGCGTCACTGATGAGTTTTTTGTAGACGAAACGCGGATCTGGCGTGCCAAATTTCAATCCTGGTATCTGTTTAACCATGTTTAACCCCACATCATTTTTGGGTCCGTCCCAAGACAGGAACCTTTATACTATATACTAGCTTTTGCTAGTCTTGTGCGTTTTTTTTACTTTTAGTTAATTTGTATGTTTAGGAGTTTAGTGCGGCGTCCATTCGCTTAAATAGTATACATTATTGTTTAAGGGTCTGCTAAAGCACGCATAAGGGTGCAGGATTTTCTCTCTGTGTTGAAGACATATTGGTGGCTTTGGGCAGTGTTCTATACATTCTAAGGTCGGGTTGTTGTTTTTTTGACAAATTCACCGTTTTCATTCTCTATTACATCTATATATATTGATGAACAATATTTTTTATATAGATTGGTTATTTTGAGATCATGTTCAGGTATTTATAAAACTTCTAAAAACAAGATATTCTTCATAACTAAGTTTTACCTGTTGAATATTTAGATCTATTTAAGTAACTTTAGGAAATCCTTAAATTTTAAGATGTTTTATGAGACCAAAGTAATTGTCAGTATATAAGAGGTCCAAATAAAGCTGGTGTGTTACTCTCAAGAACAAAATACGGAACCTTCCTATAAGTTGCATGCCATAGAGTTACACTTCACATGAAAATTGGACTTTTAATTTTCTCTATACCACCTCTACCATGAGAACATACAGCTTCAGTAATGAGTATAAGAATAATTGGAAGCATCCAGCAACCAAAACATAAAGATATGAAAGACAAAATAAATGCATCTAGATTATAAAGCAAACTGAGTGTTGAAATTAATAATCCAATTGGTCTGTGCAATTTGCTTTAGTCACCTGGTTTGCAGAAATTGGGAATTGCAATAGGATTAGGACTAAGTATATTAAGCACGATGAAAAATTGATGTCAACTCCCAACCTTAAAAGGTATATTCAAATGGTAGCTGTATATACTTTTCTATTTAAAATTCAAAGGTGCTTTTAATTGACTTGTGCTAGCAAGAATCTACACACAATTACATATTTTCCACAATAAAGATGTTTCATCATTATCCTTTCCGTCTTCTATTCAAAATCCATTATTTCAAATCGATAGCAAAAAAATCAACAACAATTTTTTGGTGACCAGTCAGAGGTCTCGGGTTCACGTATTGCTTTATTATTTTTTAAAGTAAACAACTTGTTTTGGTTTACAATAAAACATGTGTAGATGGAAGATATAGAGAAGGCGGGAGAATCTTCTTGATTTTCAGGTAAAAAGTTCAAGGTCACAGCTGCTGAATATAGACTTAACGACAAGTTGTTTTTTTTTAAAAAAAAAAAGAAAAGCAACACGTGAACCTAAAACCGCTGACTGGTCACCAAAAGATTGTTGCTGAATTTTTGTTTGCTTTTGAATTGAAATAATTGGACTGTGAATAGAATGAATTGAAGAAGATAAATACCTTTATATTAAAAATATGTAATCGTGTATACATTCTTGCACAAGTGTTGGATAGTTGTGAATAGAAAAGTGTATATTTTTATACAGCTACTATTTAGATATACATTTTAAAGCTCGACTATTTCATTTATTACTTGGGATTGTACATCATTTTTTCATAATCCTATTGCGAATCCCAGTTTCTACAAACCGGATGTATAATGCAAATTGCGCACTCAGTTTGCTTTATCATCTGGATGCATTTATCATTTATATTTTGTTTCCTGCATGGATGCCTTCATATTCTTAACTCGTCATTAAAGTTGTCTGTACTCATGGTAGATGTTGCATAGATAAATTTAAAAGTCCATTTTCCATGTGAAGTGAAACCCTGTGGCATAAAACTTGTAAGAAGGTTTCGTATATAATTTTCTTGAGAGTAACACAACAGCTTAATTAGGACCTCTTAAATAGAGACTTATTCTGGTCTAATAAAACATATACAATTTTAAAGATTTCCTGATTTTACTTAAATCAATCCACATATTCTACAGGGAAACTTGGTGTT